ACCTTCTATGAGCTATCCATGGAACAGCATGATCCTGGATAAGAAATTACCGCTCTGAAATTGTGTCTATTTTGGACTGTCATCAGTTCACGTTATTTCAAACTATTTCCATTGAATGTTGTGAACTGCCAAAAAATATGCTATCAGTTGAGTTTCATGGCAGTCCAATTAGGTCATTTTTCAAGGCAGAGAAATTTTTGCAAATAGTGTTTAAATTACTTTCTACCACAGAGCATACACGGGGATGACTTTTCCTATAGAAAGGCTTCCTAAGATTAATTTGACCAAGGTAGTATCTACTGAAGGACTTGAGAACATGACATTACAGATCTGTGAAAAAAGAGCTAAATAAAAACCCGCCAGTGCCTCTCAGACACCTTATGACTCTCTCCAAAGGCACAATCCAAATTCAAGCTCTAAACATATGGTGAAGCTCGACTTGTTCAGAGGAGGATTCAAAATTTAAAATTACAGAGAAAAATACAGATGGCAAATAAGCCCATGAAAAGATTTTCAGTATCATTAGCCATTATGGAAATGCAAATTAAAATTTAAAACCACAATGAGGTGTCACCACATACCTATCAGAATGACTAAAATTAAAAAAAAATAGCGGCACCAAATGCTGGGTAGGATGTAGCAAAACTGATCAAGCATGCATTGCTGGTAGGAATTTTAAATTTTAAATGCTAACACTAGTCTGGAAAACAGTTTGGTGGTTTTTTAAACAAACATACATATACAATTACTATATGCGAAGCAATTACACTCTTGGATGTTTAGTTTGGAGACTTGAGAATTTACAGTTATACAAAGGTCTGTACATTATTATTTATTGACCATTTTCTTTCCCAAAGCTCCAAACTTAAAAAGACACAAATGTCCTTCAGCTAAAAAAACCATGTGATACACCCATACCTTGGTGTACTACTCAGCAATGAGAAAGAATGAGAACTGAAGAAAACGAAGCCTTTCTCAAAAGGTAAAGTACTACCTGATCCCACTTATATAACATTTGAAACCTGGTGGCATAGTGGTTTTGCGATGGGTTGCTAATCACAAGGTCAGCAGTTTGAAACCAGCAGCCACTCTCATGGAGAAAGGCAGGGCTTTCTACTCCAGTAAAGAATTAGTCTCAGAAACTCATAGGGGGCAGATGTACCCTGTTTTATTGGGTCGCTATTAGTCAGAATCAACTGGATAATAGTGAGGTTTAAAATTTTGTTTGATATAACATTCTGTAAATGACAAAAATATACAAATAGAAAGCTGATGATCATGCTTATGCGAATAACATGTGGGTTGTATGTTTTCTACAAACTATGCAACCTCCTCGTGCATTAGCTTCCTTTGGATAGTATGTGTATTAGATACACACACATATACTGGGTGGGGTGGGGGAATGCTGTAATGATGGCCACAGGTTAAGGAAGTGAGGAGGGCAGGAGGGTAGTGGGTGTGGCTATAAAGGCCCCGCGTGTTGGATCTTTGTAGTAAAGGAATGGTACTGTATTTCAACTATGTATTGCCTTCCAATAGAGTTTTTAAAGGTGTTACTATTGGGGAAGGCTGCATGGTATTTCAGGATTACTTATAGAATTACGTATGATGATCCCAGAAGCATATATGGAGTTGTGAGAGACTGAATGGGAAGCAGGAAGTGTGTGTGGAGGTGGGGTGGGGGGATTGAAGAAAATTCATTATAAAATATTGCTGTGAAAGAAAATATAGAAATGTGACCCTACCTGGAGGTGGTTGTTTGGCCAAGGTGGAGCTTCCGTTTCTTAAGAGGTTACTTCAGCATGTTGACTGGCTAATAGAAAAAATCTAGTCAGGAGGTGTTCTGCATGAAGACATAACAAACATAGAAATGATTCACCGAGAAATGGCATCCAGAACACTTATGAGTGGAATGTAGGTTTTGATGGAAACAGATTCACTTCTGCTCTGGAACACAGAGAAGCAGTAATCCCATCCATACGATAAATGATTGTTGGAGAAAGGGAAGAAATAGGGAATCTTCGTTGGTATAGCTTAGAAAGTTACTGTGAGTGTTTAAACTGGAGAAGATGTAAAATGCAGGGGACAGGTATGTGAGACACATCTTGTTAGTTTAATAATCAGAACATTGCAACCAATTGGGCATCTGTGGGGAGGAACAAGTGCAACGGGAAATGCTTCAACAATGTGGAGGAAGATGAGTTTGAAGGGAACACAAAAAAGGTTTTGAAATATTAATTGTCCAAGAATATTAGGTTGGAAGTTTATTCTTAAAACTTAATAAAGCATTGAATGAGAAGATAATAGGCTACCTAAAATTGGCATTGAGAATTAAATTGATCGACCTCAACTTTTTCTCTGGTCTGGTCCCAATTGTTTTGTGAATGATGATAATTGGTATCTTTCTTTGACTCCTGTCCCTGTGATGAGCAAAACAATGACTAGAGGAAGCTAATTTGCATGGAAAGAATATTTTACTGAACTCTGGCACCCAAAGAAGGAGCCCTGGTGACACAATGGTTAAAACACTGGGCTGCTGAGACAAGGTCAGTGGTGAAAGAGGAAAAAGATGTGGCCGTGTGTTTCTGCAAAGCTTTATAGCTTTGGGAACCCCATTGGGCAAGTGTGTGTTTCTGCAAAGCTTTATAGTTCTGGAAACCCCATCAGGCAGTCCAAGAGGGTCACTATGAATGAGAATCAACACCTGGGCTGTGGCTTTGCTCTCCTCCAAAGCCTTAGGTTATGTCTTGATTGAGCCCAATTAATGAAATAACTTGGAAAGTGGTGTTTCTCTATTTGTTATCCAGCAGGCACTTTGACATTGTTCACATCAGGAAGTAATGATGAGAACGTGGAGCTGGTCATGGAAGATGAAGGCAAACTGCATAACATAACCAATGTGCCCTCTTAGGTGAGTGTTAGTTTGCTTAATTCTTGAATTTTTCTTTCCCACGGATCAACTTTCTTTTTCTCTAGACTTCAGAATCTTGAAAGATTAGTTTAATCATGGTAACTCTCCCAGACTACCATTCGCACGCTGCTGATAACCTTTCTTTGGTTTTGGCAGCAAAATGTCTTTGTTAAAATGCTTTCAACACTGCTTATATCCAGTAAGGGAATTGTTTTGGGGTTGTTTTTGTTCTATTTTCCACAGAAAATCTCTTTAAGGGGACTCCTCACTAGTGTATTCTCCAGTCAGCATGTACTCGCCCTATAAAGGTACAGCCTTAACTCCAATGGAACCCTAAGACACTAGAAAATTAGAGCATCCATTGAAAAATAACAGCCTCAATTTTGAACTATGATAGGATTAAGAAAAAAGAATCGGATATTATATTATGTTTTATGAAAGTAGAAAAAGTTTGAAAGCAAACTATTGAGTTAAAATATATATATTTGTGTGTTTTTGTGGGTTTTTTGGTAATGTGTTAGGCCAGTTACATTTTCAAACTGTTCTTTAAAAAGCTGTTTTTCATAAAACAGTAAGATTGCATACTAAAACAGAGAGAAGAAAATGAAAATCTCCCATAAACCCACCTCTCAGATATAAACAATGGTAAACATTTTCTATATTTCTATTAAGTTTTTATATTCTATTTATATTTTCTACATAGACAATGTTGAGAGAGATATGTTAGTTATCTGATATCATAGGTCTCACAACTTAAAAATATAGGGCAGGCAGAATAATATTGCCAACTTTTCATTTTCCAAGTAAAAACCAAGCATTAGGATATAAGCAAATGATAAAAAGTATCACATTTTATTACTATACTTTCATAAAATTAAATTGGAATAATATGGTATAGAAATGATACCAGAGTAGAATAGTATAGAATACCATTTAGATTTAATAAAATTACGTGAGAAACTAATCAATATTGTTTTTATTTTTCTTCTAGCCCAGTGGTTCTCAACCTTCCTAATGCCGTGGCCCTTTAATACAGTTCTTCATGTTGTGGTGAAACCCAACCACAAAATTATTTTCGTTGCTACTTCATAACTGTCATTTTGCTACTGTTATGAATTGGGCGATCCCTGTGAAAGGGTCCTTCAACCTCCAAAGGGGTCGTGACCCACAGGTTGAGAACCGCTGATATAGACTGATGACAGTTGTATGCTACCCTGTTTCCCCTAAAGTAAGACATTCTCCGAAAATAAGGCCCTCCGAAGCTACCATAACTCTGGACTCTGGACCATAATGGCGGAGCCACTGCACAGCTCACTGTTGGCCTCGGTGCAGCCTGAGCAGACAGGAAGTGTGAGGTCTCTTTTAATAAAACAAAAAAACAATAGACAATAAATGTGTACCGTATTCTTCTTCATGTGAAAATAAGACATCCCATGAAAATGAGACCTAGTGCATCTTTGGGAGCAAAAATGAATATAAGACACTGTCTTATTTTCGGGGAAACAGGGTAGTCGTCATTAGGACCATGCTTGCTTCTAAGGAGTGAAGTGAGTAAAACTACTATAAAACAGTATGCATTGATGTTGCTTACATACATGATCACACATTTAACTGGGTTCCTAGGAATGCCCATACCCCTTCTACTTATCCTTGTTAAAGTTACTCATCCACTCTTGGATAATTCGAGTTCATGCCTTCTTGTCTATCAGCAAGTGTCTAGTAGCCCCTCCCTCTGCCTCTCTCTCAGCTGATGGTATTACTTCCTCATTGAACTGCCAAAATAGAAGCAATTAAAAGAGAACTTCTCACCTGGAGACACCAGTTTACAACCACTAGTATGGGTATAATAAAAAAAATATGAACAATTATAAGTGTTGTTAGGAAGGCACAAAATTGGAATGATCATGCATTGTTAGTGAAATGGCACAGCTACTTGATAAAATGATTTAGCAGTTTCTGAAAAATAAGTTTAAATTGCCTTATGACCGCCTCCTTCTTCTGCCGCTCATGGCGCTGCCTGTGTGCTCCGTTGGTGCGAACCTGGTACCTCTTTTGTGAAGCGGCAGGCGAGGAGACTTCGGCGCTCACCATGGCCAATGAAAAACCCAAGGAAGGAGTCAAGACTGAGAACAGTGATCATATGAATTTGAAGGTGATGGGGCAGGATGGTTCTGGGGTGGAGTTTAAGATTAAGAGGCATATACCACTTAGTAAACTAGTGAAAGCCTATTGTGAACGACAGGGTTTGTCAATGAGGCAAATCAGATTCCGATTTAACTGACAGCCAATCAATGAAACAGACACATCTGCACAGTTGGACATGGAGGATGAAGATACAATGGATATGTTCCAGCAGCAGACAGGAGGCGTCTTCTAAGAGAGAGCCTGCTCTTTTCCTCCAGAATTCTTTTCCTAACGACCAAGAACCCATTCTCTATTAGAAAACCACAATTTGGTTCCACTACCTCCTGATGACTGCAGTATAGTTTTCTCTTTCGTTTCCCCTGACAACTGCAGTATAGTTTTCCCTTTCATTTCCCCTTCCCCACTCCTTTATTGTACATCAAGTAACTGGTGTATGTGCACAAGCACACTGCATTTTCCCCTTTGTTTATTTATTTATTTATTTACTCAATGGCCAATGGTATGTTTTGATCGACATCAAGTACAGAAGGGATGGGGAAAATCCTGCTTCCGTGAAAACACTCCCGTCTCCATCAGTGGCATGCTCATTCAGCACCTCTCTTTAGATTCCAGTAAGTTATTTTGCTCTCACTGTTTAACAAAAACAAAAAAACCGACATAAAAAAAATCCTCGCATACCTTGTTCAATTGGAGAAATTTAATGTTTGTCATTTATCATTGTAAAACCAAGGACAATTTTGTAACTTTTTTGTATGTAGCTGTTACATGTCTTTAAGTAGGAGTAAATTACTCTCCAAGAAATGAAGCCTAGATTGTTTTCCCTTCAAGTCAAGCATCTTGTTGTTTAAATAAACTTCTTGTTTAAAAAAAAATTACCTTATGACCAAGCAATTCCACTCCCAGGTGTATACCCAAAATAATTGAAAGTAGGAATGCAAATGGACTCTTAGACCCCAGTGTTCATTGCAACATTATCCACAATAGCTGAAAGGTGGAAATAACCCGAATGCCCAGCGACAAATGGTTGTATTATGAAATGTTGTATATCTATAAAGTAGAATATTATTCTTTTATAAAAAGAAGTGAACCAAGGATCTGTGTATTAATATGGACAAACTTGAAAACATTATGCTATGTGAAAGAAGGCAGACACAAAGGGTCAAGTCTTGTGTGACTGACTACATTTGTATAAAATATCTAGAATAGGCAAATGTATTGAGACAAAGTGGATTAGTGACTTCCAGAGGCTGGAAATCGGGGAATGAGAGTGGTTGCTAGTGGGAATGAGATTTCTTTTCAGGGTGCTGACAGCACTGTAAACTTATCAATATAGACAAGTGGTTTATTATCTTCCATCTTCAAACAACCTTGTCTAGAAATGCCATCCTGCGCCAACTCTAACCTCATTTCTCTGCTCACTGTGTCTATTCTGTCCCTAATTTTCCTTTGAACTTACTCAGCAATTATTTCATAACCATCACCCATGAATTCTGCTCTTATTGACTTTCACATTTCTTAGTTAAATGATCAATTTCCAGTCCCCATATTATTTGCACTAAGCAGCATTTTACATCATGGTCGCTTCCTCCTCTTTGAAATACTTTCTTGACTTGACATCCAGGATACTCTAACCAAATGCTTTTCTTCCTACTCCATTGACTATTTTATGTCTCTATTCCAGGGCATCTCTATCTCTGCCTGGTGGCATAGTGGGTTACAAGTTGGGCTGCAAATCTCAAAGTCAGCAGTTTGAAACCACCAGCAAACTCCATAGGAGAAAGACAAAGCTTTCTGTTCCTATAAAGATTGACAGTCTCAGAAACGCACAGTGGAAGTTCTTTCCTGCCTGTAGGGTCACTCTAAGTCAGAATACACTCAATGGCAGTGAGATCTAATGGGTCTTTATCTGGGCTCTAAATGTTAGGAAATCTCCAAGATCCAGTTACCAGAAAATTTCACTATCTATACTCCTTCCTTTATTGCTCTCATCCAGTCCCCCAGATTTAATGACACCAATATCCTGATGAGTTTCAAAATTATAAACCAGTCCAGACTTCTCCTCTTAAAAATTCCAACTCCTGTGTTCCATATTTGACATGCCCACTTGAATGATTAAGCAAACTCTTAAAATTCCCTAAGATAGAACCCCATTAATGTTGAATGTTATGTCTCATTGTGTTGCTTTGGGGAAGGGGGAAGATGTGCTAAAGTCCTAGCCCCTGGTACCTGTGAATGTGACCATGTGTGGAAATAGAATTGATAGATTTATAAAGATATGATTCATTAATATGGAGTCATATTGGAGTAGGGTAGATCCTAATCCAATATGAGTGTTGTTCTTATCCCAGAGAAGAGATATAGTGGGCATGTGGTCATGAACAGAGAGGTACAGATGAAGTTCTGCTATGTCTTCAAGCTAAGTATCTCAGAGGATGATACATGGTAGGAGGGAAAAATTAAACTAAAGTAAGGGATGGTGGTACTAGCTACCATGCTTAAGAAGATATTCAGGGAAGACCTCATTAAGAAGATCGCATTGATAAAAATGAGGAATTATGTGTGCTGCTGAGAATGGCAAATGGGAAAAATGATTACATCTATGTACTGCACCAAGGATCCCTGGTGGCACAGGGGGTTACAAATTGGCTTGCTAATGGCACGGGTAGCAGTTCAATCCCCTCAACTGCTCCATGAGAGAAAGATGAGGCTTTCTACTCCCATAAAGATTTACAGTCTCAGAACCTCACAGCAGCACTTCTGTTCTGCCCTGTGGGTTCACTAGGGACTGGAATTGACTCAATGCACCTTCACCAGAATATAGTCATTAGTAGAGTAATAAGTGTGAATTTTGCTGATGATTTTATACTAAACATGAAATAAGCCAGAGTAGCCCAAATTGGACATTATTGAATAATGAAGCTCGAAGAAAAATGATGCTTTTGAATTGTGGTGCTGGAGAAGAACATTTCAAGTACCATTCACTGTTAAAAGGACAAACTGATCTGTCTTGGAAGAAGTACAGCCAGAGTAATCCTTAGAGGCAAGGATGGAGAGACTTCGTCTTACATACTTTGGACCGATTATCAAGAGAGAGGATTCCCTGGAGAAGGACATCATGCTTAGTAAAGTGGAGGGGCAGCAAAAAAGAGGAAGTCCCTCAGGGAGAGATTGATTGACAAAGTAGCTGAACCAATCGGCTCAGGCATAGGAACAGTTGTGAGGATAACATACGGAGGGGGCACTGTTTCAGTCTGTTGTGGTTCAGGTTGCTATGGGTTGGAACGGTTTCAATGGCACCAAGCAGTGACAAAAACATCCCAAATTGGATGTGGAATGATCTATCTCACAGATCCATCACTAACTCCATAATCTGCCAAGGACATGGACACAGAAGGGCCATGTGAATTAAGTGGACATTAGCCTGGAATGGGTAAAACCAAAGACCAAAGGTATCAACAGTAAAGCCAAAGAAGCCCAGGAGAACTAAATCCTAATGTAAGACCTCAGGAGCTTTCTTTACTGTTGCTACTACAGTAGAACCAATTTGAGAATGCAGTGCTCGTATGGCACTAAGGAGCCCTGGTAGCCATGTGAGTTAGGTGTTGAGCTGTTAATTGTGGGAGTAATATGAGGCTATCAGTTCCTGTGAAGATGTAAATCTCTGAGACCCTAAGGAAAATTGATCTGTCCTGTTCAGTTGCTAGGAGTTGGAGCTGACTAGATGACCATGGAGTTTGACTGGTTGTGATGGCCTTTTAGATTAGGTGAGTCTTCCCCAAAATGAGTGATGCTGCTTCATGGGGGGCATTGGACTGATCCAAGGGGCTTTCAAAAGAAAAACCTACACTTTACCAAAGATTACTGGCTATAGTTCAAACATTTTTAATTGCCAAGGAGAGGTTTTGTTTTGTTTTGTTTCATTTTTTTCCTGGAAAGGGGCTTGCAGTAGGCCAAAGAAGTTTCGGAACTTAGGGTTCGCTATTATGTTGTTAGCAATAAGGACATAATGTTTCAAACCTTTAGTCCCTGTTCATCTGACTGTATGGACTATATGGATCATAACAAACTATGGGTAACCCTGAGTAGAATGTGAATTCCAGAACACTTCATTGAGATCTTTTGGAACATAGACATGGATAAAGAGGCATTGTGAAAATAGACAAGGGAATACTACAAGGATTAAAAACAAGAAAGGTGTGTGACTGGGTGCTACCCTCTCACCATTCTTATTTAGTCTGTATGCTCAGTAAATAACCACAGAAACTGGATTATAGGAAGAAGAATGTGACATCAGTATTTGAGGAAGGATTTTTAACAACCAGCAGGTTGGTGCTGATGATATACCTTGTTGAAAATGAGGAAGACCCAAAGCACTTTTGCTGAGGAGAAAAGACTGCAGCCAGAAGAATGGATTACAACTCAGTGAAAAGAAAACCCAAGCCCCCATAAGTGGATCAGTAGTGATCAATGGAGAAAAAGATTGAAATTGTCAAGGTTCTCATCTTGCTTGGATCCACAATCAATGCTCCTGGAAGCAGCAGTCAAGAAATCAATCAAACTGTGAATTACATTGCATAACTCTGCGGCATGAGACCTCTTTAAAGTGTTGAAGAGCAAGAATGTCACTTTGAGGATTAAGGTGCACCTGACTTAAGCCATATTTTCCTTTTTGTTTTTAATCACTTTATTAGGGGCTCATACAACTCTTATCACAGGCCATACATACATCAATTGTGTAAAGTACATTTGTACATTCATTGCCCTCATCATTCTCAAAGCATTTGCTCCCTACTTTAACCCTGGCATCAGCTCCTCATTTTCCCCTCCCTCCCTGCTCCCCGCTAACTCATGAGCCCTTGATAATTTATAAATTATTTTGTCATTTCTTGCACTATCAGACGTCTCCACCCACATTTCTGTTGTCTGTCCCCCAGGGACGAGGTCACATGTAGATCCTTGTAATCAGTTCCCCCTTTCCAACCTACCCTCCCTCCAACCTCCCATTATGGCCTCTTGCACCACTGGCCCTGAAGGGATCATCCACCCTGGATTCCCTGTGTTTCCATTTCCTATCTGTACAAGTGTACATCCTCTGGTCTAGCCATATTTGTAAGGTATAATTGGGATCATATTAGTGCGGGGGTAGGGGGGCGGAGGAAGCATTTAGGAACTAGAGGAAAGTTGTATGTTTTATCACTGCTAGAAAGCACCCTGATTGGCTCCTCTCCTCCC